CCTGTGTTTTTGCTGATGGGAACTTGGTTCCCCCTCGCAGTGCGGGTGCAGCGAGTTGTTTGGCTGATGCAGAGCGGAGTGCACGTGCTGGGGTGTACAGTTTAAACATGTCCTGGATGTAGGAAGGGCCTGATCCATTCGCAGCATGGTATGCAAGTACCAATGTTTTGAAGTGGATTCTAGCAATTACTGGAAGCCAGTGAAGGGAGCGGAGGAGCGGCGCGGTGTGGGAGAATTTAGGAAGGTTGAAGACCAGACAAGCCGCTGCATTCTGGATGAGCTGCAGAGGTTGGATGGCACATGCGGGTAGACCAGCCAGGAAGGAGTTGCAGTAGTCTAGGCGTGAGATGACGAGAGCCTGGACCAGAACCTGCGTTGTTTTCTGGGTCAGCTGGAGGCGTATCCTCCTGATGTTGTAAAGCGTGTATCTGCAGCAGCGGGTTGTAGCAGCGATGTTTGCAGTGAAGGACAGTTTGTTATCTAGGATCACACCCAGATTCCTTGCAGTCTGAGTCGGGGAAACAATAGAGGTGCCGATGTTGATTGTTAGGTCAAGAGTGGGACAATCTTTTCCCGGAAGGAAAAGCAGTTTAGCCTTGTCGAGGTTGAGCTTGAGGTGGTGAGCAGACATCCACTGAGAGATGTCAGCTAGACAAGCAGAGATTTGTGTGACGACCTGGGTCTCTGAGCGGGGAAAGGACAGAATTAATTTAATTTAATTTCATAAATCCTATAAATAGCAACACGTATTAGTAAATATATGCAATACAAACACCGCTAATTACATTACATGTAGCTTGTTAGACGCTTTTATCCAAAGCGACTTACATACTCAATACTGTGGACAATCCCCACAGGAGCAATTTGGGGTGAAGTGTCTGAGGGACACAACGACATGCTGACTGCAGTGGGGTTTGAACCTGTGCTCCCCTGATCCGAACACCAACGCTCAACCCACTGCATCACACGCCTCCCATTACAACTCTACACAACTTTTCAAGAACCTCTTTAAAGAGCAACTTCCAGGTTAAAGACACCTGTGAATAAATGTGTAGGAAAATGATGAATACACTAGATTTGAAAAAATATATACTTTATATATTATATATATATTTATATATATATTTTTGTAAGACATTTTCACTTCCGCATAAAAAAGCCTCGGCACGTGACCTCCCGCGTGTGACGTAACATGGGGGAAACAAGGGGGAGAGCGGCCGGTGTAACGTATTAATAAACATGGATCCCAATGCTAGTTTCGACACAGAAGACACAGAAGAAGTTGAACATGAATATTCGAATGCATATGACGGACCACAACCTTATAATTATGAGCCTGCTAGGCGTCCAAGAGACCAGGAGCAGCCAATTATTAGAATAAATAACGGCCATCGGAGAGAAATTGAGCTGTGGTGTGAAGAGAACCAGTGGAGAACTGGGCAGCTATCTTGGTGAGTGACCGGCGTTAGCTACAGAATGTTAGCTAACGTCACATCACAACATTGTAAAGTTAGCTATCATATATCAGGCTATAACTGAAGTAGCATTGATAATATAGTAACGTTACTGGCAGGACTGTTGGTACTGATCCATAACAGAAACTAATGCGCAAGTATCAGCCGTATCTCGCGTTACCTAATGCAACTCCACACTACGGTGCTGTGTACCGGAGGAGAGACGCGAGATACAGAGAGA